GCATGTATTTTACCAGGCCAGCAAAGAATGGACGGTCCTTTAGGTCAATGTAGTGTTCCTTGAGAAGATCTTCAGAAGCATGCATGAATTTCATATCAACAAGGAGGAATCCCTTCTGCTCAAAACGCTTGATGATCTCTCCCACAAGGCCCTGCTGTACCCCATCGGGCTTGATGGCAATGAAGGTGGGTTCACAGTTGACCATGGTTCCCCTCCAGCTGCTTGGATTTCCGAAACTGAGCTTTTTTTTTTTAAAGAGCCCTTTCCTGAAAAATAGCTTGTGGACTATGTCCCTGATGTAAGCTTCTATTTGCAAAATCACTTTATTTTCTCCTCAAAAGTAGAGTTCAGGGACCAGCAGTTAGCGTAACGGCTATGTCGCTGAACTCCCATGTAGCTGACCTCAGCTCAAGTCCCAGACCTGGTGGCTTAAACTCATGCCAGGCGCATGTGCGTACATGCCCAAGGTCCCGAGAGGAGAATGGAGGAGAAGAGATTGCAGCGTGGCCATCCCCCCTGGGAGGTGATTTCTTGCTTTCTGTCTCTCTGTCTCTCTCTGTTTTTCTGGTGAGCGCACAGGCCCTATAGCAAAAATCTAATCTCTCCAAAAAAAAAAAAAAAAAAGTAGAGTTCAGGAAAAAAAAAAAAAAAGATAATGTCTCTGTATATCTAGTTTTGACGGACTCTGGCTATGATTTTATTTTACTATTAACATACATATAGAAATGCTCTCTTTTGCATTTGTTTTTATTACATAAATTTTGGATACATTAGCCTGGGGTTAGGTAAATTAAATGTAAAAGTATCCCTAATAGATGTAGCATCAAAACACTACATGGTTCTTTGATTCTGTGACTTACTTAATGGATCACAAGCAGGCATCAGCTAAAGGCTGGCTGGTGATTTAAATTATAAACAGAGGTGTTCAAAGCTGTGGCTAATTCATTACTCACACATCTCTAGTTGAAGTAGTAATTTAAAGGCATGTGTGTCGCATTAATTGTAATCTTGTTTCCAAATGACAAGATAAATATCTCAAGGAACATAATATATTGTGGTCATAGGTCAACCCAAATGATTGTCTAAAATAGATTAGTACTAAGTGCATGCAATATGTCATGTTTATAAATTTGAAAAAGGATAAATTGCATTAACATTTAGCAGATTGTTCATTACACATCATCAATGTTTGGCTTTAAGTGCATTAATGCTCTATTCAGTGATAGCATTCTATGAAAATATCACACAGAGAGAGACTACTAAATCCCTGACTGAAAATCTAACACTTGAGAAAAAAAACAGGTCAAAATAAGTTGTATCTTTACCCACTAACATGTCATGGCTTTGTTTTATATAAATGTGAAAGAGATATATTTTGGTCCTGAAAGAAGGGTTATGTTATAATTAGCAAAAAAAGAAAATTGCCAATACGAGGTCTCTACCCATCTCTGCTTGTACTTTTGCTATTCATGTAAGACTTTTCATCAGCTATGGCTGGGTCAGACCCTCACCCATAATCTTGGAGAAGAAAATCAAATCATCCCCCCAATGCCACACCACAAAATAAGTGTAGCATAAGAATGCAGGCTGGGGAACCAGCAGTTAGCGTAATGGCTATGTCGCTGGACTCCCATGTAGTCAACCGCGGTTCGCATCCCGGACCCGGTGGCTTAAATCTCACACCGGACGTGTGTGCGTGCGTGCCCAGGATCCCCAGAGGAGAATGGAGGAGAAGGGACTGAGGCGTGACCATCCCCATGGGAAGTGATTTCTCACTTTCTGTCTCAATGTCTCTCTCTGTCTGTCTGGCAAGTGCACGTGCCCTATAGTGAAAACCTCTCCAAAAAAAAAAAAGGAATGCAGGCTGGGATTATAATCATAAAGGTAAGAGAGTTGCTTTTCATATTTAGGTCAAAATTAAACTGCTTTGATTCTAGATATCATGAATATGGATGAGCCAGTTTTTCTACCTACAAGTTCTGAAATCATGGGTGAGATATTTCACCAGCTCTTTTATCAGGCTACATATCATTATGTGCTGATAATTTCTTACCCCATGAATTTCTGCTTTGAAAGAGCCTTGTGTTTCTTGGATGAATAATTTGAAAAGTCACTTAGGGTAGAATAAGGGACATTGACGAAGGAATAGCAAACTAAATCTAGCCCACGAAAACACTTTGTGTAGGTGACCTTTTTCCTTGTTTGTTTGTTCGTTCAGATATTCACTTTTAACTGAATTTGAGTGTCTTTAAAGCAAGGTAGTCAGCCTTCAGTTGACCATCAGTTCCCTTATGCCTCCCTTTCTTAGACAAAGCCAGATCCCACACCAACGTTACTGAACTCAGCGGAGTTTGTAACAGAGGGATGCTGGAGACAGCATTTGATTTACCAAGTGGCGTTTCCACATAACTAGAATGATCAGCTCGGGGGGGCTTTTAGAGTCCATTTAAGGGAACGAGAAAGAATAACAGGCTAATACCAGGACAGGAAATTTGAGGATTAAAATTCAATCATTTAAAGAAGAATGTTATTAGGTCTCTGCTCTGTACATGGGAATCCTGCCTCATGTTTTCACATTTTTAGTAAAATATCAATTTCTTATGAATATACTATAAAATTTGGGTGAGAAGCAATAATTCTGAGTGTCCCAATATGAGGCAAGGGCTGAGGTTATCGACATTAAAACCAAATCCTTGCATTCAGGTATTTTTGGTTTTCCCCCTTTTGAGTTATTACTTGAGAGTAGTCTGTCATACAGCTAAAGAAGGTGACTATATTTAGCTGGAAGAAAAGAATTGGGTTCAGGGGCCCAGCAGGTGGCATGGTGGTCGAGGCACTGGACTCCTGCATGGCTGGCCACAGTTCAAGCTTCAGACCTTGCAGCTTGCTTACTTACTTTCTCTCTCTCCATCTCTCTCTCTGTCTCTTTCTGGTGAGTGCATGTGCCCTAAAAAATAATAACAATAATAAATAAATCTAAATAAATAATTCTTAAAAAAAAAAAAGAATCGGGTCCATGACCAAGGCTCAGTCAGATACTTCTAGCCCTTTGAAACTTAAAGAGAGGGGCAGCAGATGGTGTAGCTGTTACATTGCTGGACTTCCTCACGGTCGACTGTGGTTCGAGTCCCAGGCTTGAATTTCACACTGGCATGTGTGCGCCCATGCCCAAGATCCCAAGAGGAGAGTGGAGGAGAAGGGATTGCAGCATGGCCCTGCCCCCCGGGGGTGATTTCTCACTTTCCCTCTCACTGTCTCTGTCTCTTTCTCTATGGTGAGTACACACACCCTAAGGCAAAACAAAACAAAACAAAACACAACTTGAGAGAGTAGGAAAGGACACAGGAGCAGTCAGAGATCACTTACAGCTCATTCCAGACAAACATTCAACCTGTGGAAAAATTTTCAAGTAGTCCATCAAATTCAGAATGGATCCTTCTGTTAACCAGTTTCAATGAAGACTACAACAATTTTTAGCACTTTTTATGAAGCTCACTTAGAAGCAATTTCAAGAATTTTAGTTTTTAAAAAATACACAGAATACAAAGTTCACAAATAGAAAAATCTTTGCCTAGATTTATTGGTTGATTCATCACACAACTCACTAGTTGTGTGATCTTGGGCAAATTAATTACCTTTTCTGTGCCTCAGTTTCTTTACCTACAACCTCAACCATCAATGACCAGGTTGGGGTGGTTAGCATGCTGGATAGCAGTCAAGCCACAATGAGGATATACACACATATGGCATTGCCTAGTATTAGTCAAGTAGGGCCACCATTACAAATAACACAGATTGAGTGACTTAAACAAAAGATGTATCCTCCCACAATTCTAAAGCCTGGAAGTCCAATATCAGGGTGTTGGCAGCTCTGGTTTCTCCTGAGGCCTCTCTCCTAAGCTTACAGCTGGCCATCCTGCTGTGTCCTCATAAACCTTTCTGCTGTGCATGCATAACCCTGATATCTCCTCTCCTACAATGCAGGAGCCATGTGTCGAAGCCCTGGGTTCTTTTCCCAAGAACCTCCTGTACATGCAGAGCACGTGCACCCTGTGATCCCAGCTGCTTGAGGGAGAGGGTAGGTTGTACCAGGAAGAGCCTGTTGGTGTTGGCTGTCTCCATCTCTCCCTATCTCTCACTCTTTTTTCAAGAAATAAATAGGGCCAGCAGGTGGTGTGGAGGTTAAGACACTGGATCACATATGGCTGGCTGTGCGGTTTGAATTTCAGACCTAGTGGCTTGAAAAATAGGTGCTTGTGTATGCCTATCCAAAATCCCAAAAGGAGACTGGAGGAGTAAAGATTGCAGCATGCCCATCCCCTCTAGGGGGGCAGCTTCTCACTTTGCCATTCTCTCTCTCTCTCTCTCTCTCTCTCTCTCTCTAGCATGTATGCCCTATAGAAAAAGAAAGAGAGAGAGACAGAAGAAAAAAAGAAAAAGAAAGAAACTTTTAAAAAAATAAAAGGAAAGTGAAACAAGGACACAATGACAATAAAAGAGTACTTACAGCTGAGCACAAATATCAAGTGGGAACAGTACCAGTGACAGCACCCCAAGCAAACACTCTGATGTGTTCTGAATTGTGCTTTTCATTGCCTTACATTTTTTGGTTCTTTCTCATTCTCCCATCTTTCTTCCCATTCTCCCAGTTTCTGTGACATGTCCAATTATCTTTCCTTCCTTTCTGCTTTCCTTTTGTTCTTTCTTTCTTTTTTTTTCTCCCCAGAAGGGAAGTGTGAGCACCAGAGATAAAGAGAGAGAGAGAGAGACAGAGAGAGAAGCACCCCTCACCATGGGTCATAGGTACACCACAATCCCCTCTTCTCCATTTCTCCATCCTGTCTGAATTCTGGGCATGCACACACACACACCCAGCATGTTTTACAAGCCACTGGGCCAGCCTGTATGGTCAGCCTGGTGGGATCTAGCTCCCTAAGTCACTAGACCAGGGTCCAGCCCCCAATTGTGGTATCAATAATTCATTTTTAATTTTTTTGTTAGTCAGTTTTAATTGTTTGTAACCAAGAACCTTAACTGATAAAAGGCAGAGCTTCTTCCTTCTATACTCTGCCACAATTAATTCCTCCTCTTCCCTCAGACTTCATGTTTCTGGGCACATGTTATTTCTTCCAGAAAGTCATCTCTGACCCCACAGTCTGGGGCAGAACTGTGCGCTAATTACAGTTGTTATTTCTCGTCTCTCCTTTGTTACTAAAAATATTATAGTTAGTTATCTAACTACCATTATATAATCACTCTTTCTACAGTAGAATTTTGCTCCATGAGGATAAGAAGAAAAACAAAAGTATCTTGTGCATCTCTGCATCACTAGCTCCTAAAATAGTAGGTTACCCAAAAAGCAAAGAAATGCTC